CCTTCTTAAATAAATTCTGAACACGACCTAATAGCAACTTGGGGATCAATTAAGTATTTCTGAGAGATGGAGCCAACCTCACTTAATTTTGTCCACTGTCCTCCCCTCGTGAGGGACGTATGGAGTCATAAAAGCCGACTTTATGGGCGAACAACTTCGTCCAGTGGACGTCAGTGCGGCATGTGTGTGTGTGTGTGTGTAATTGCGACTCACTGTGCGCAGTGGAAGGTTCCGGGCGGCGCCTCTCGGCGCAGCTCCTCGTACTCCTGATGGACGCCCGTGCGCTGCAGGCGGCCCAGGTGCGCCAGCAGCTCCTGGGGCCGCATGGCCTCGGGCCCGGGGACGTGGACGGACGAGTCCTCCAGGGGGATTCCCACCAGCTCGTCCACGGGGTCCACGCGGCCGTTCTGGCCGGCCAGCAGCTGCTGGTTCCAGCTGAAGGCGTCCAGGGGCAGCAGGCCGCCGAGGTGCTGGGGGAGGCAGTCCCGGGGCAGGTGCTGACGCAGCTCGGCCATTTTCACCATCTGAACCTGGAGCCGGAGGGGGGAGAGACGGGGATCAAACCGGGCTCGGGTCGAGACTTGCACAGAAAAAAAAGGAAACTACAATCAAATCCAACGGCGTGCCAGAGGAGCTTTGCTGGGATTATCATGCCAGGAATGCTGGCGGCAGGAGGGATACGCGGTTACAGAGATTCTCCTCATCGCGTTTCTGTTCGCAGTCCAAGAAAGGTGGTTTAACTTAAAGACGGGTCATCTCAATGGAGCCGCTCAAAGAGGGGTGAGAAGACAAGCGTTTACCCTCTCTCTAAGTTTCTCTTTCAGAAGCAGGCTGAGCAGATTGTAGGGCACCCGGAACCAAACGGGGGCCCCGACGATCAACACTTTCTTCAGCCTGGCAGGGAACGCCCCCTGGTGGACACAGAAAGGTGAAAAAACACTTATATTTCAGCTACAAGTCACCATGGGGCAAGTTACAAGGCAGAAAATATCCCAGAAAGTGTCATTTTCTTCCTACAAACAATTCCCTTCAGTTATTTATCCTCATCTGTAAATGTCTGAGGAAATTTAGACATAATCCTATTCCATCCAACGGCGCCTTTTTTACAGTGTGGAACGTCTATATGTAAAAGTTATCAATCAGATGGGGGGAGATACTCTCTTACTGCCAGCCTTAGATACATGGCTCCATACTGATGTGCAATATGGAACCCAGCTGGCCTTTTAGAACATTCTTACGGCATAACAGCTTGAATTCAGCAGAACCAGACACAACTGCTAACACAAGCGCCACCCACTGTTCCTCACAGCCTTTCACGAGCCATTTCATTTGCCCTTTGTACAGGCAGCGAAATCCGAGAGGACACCACTAATTTGATTTGGCCCGTTATTGTTCCGGACCGATTCCCAGGACGGCGAGCCGCATTTTGGCGGATACCTGCCTCAGAGTGGCATTTTACATGATGACATTAACTTGTGCAACACAGACCTTGAGCAAGTTGAGGATCTTTTTGCTCAGGTCCAGCTCAAAGTTTGTGTAGTTGGAGCCCGCCATGTCGTAAATGAACACCAGGCCATTCCTCTGCGTCTCAAAGCTGTGGGGAAAACAAAAAGAGATATTCTTATCTACTTTTGTATGATGTACATCAAGATATCCCTGTAAGAACTAAAACGTTCCAATATAGGTGAAAAAAGGAGATGTTGATGTAACCAAAGAAACCTTTTTTCCCTTTATATCAGGCAAAATTTTTCATCAGATTAAAAGGATTTTGTCGAGTACAGATATAGTCCATGTATAAAAATATGGACTGCATCTATACAAGTTTGTAGTTAAAGGGAAATTTAGTCGCATATTTGACTACGGGGCTCCTAATATTGCAATATTTTCAATTAACCTGCCCGCATTCCTTAAAAAACAAAAAACAAAAAAAAACTAATAAAACCTTTGTGTTCACCTTTCAACTGCTCGGTCGAGGAGGTAGAAGAGGGCCTGAAGAACCACGTGGTTTCCTGTTTTGTTGGGGTGGTGAAGTTTGGCTGTGTACAGGGCGATGGAGGCTCCCGAAGGATCCCGTGCACTCTGAAAAACACACACGGCTCTTTTTAGTTTGAAAAAAAGAAAAAAAAAGAAAATGCAGATTTTGAAAGAAAATGTTCCAGTTAAGCATCAGGAATGACCACAGGGGGGCACCTCTGCTCAAATACTTGATTGCTGGCAGGTTGCCAGCCCAAAAAAGGAGGCCTCAACAACTCAGCAGGGGAAACAATTACAGTAAATAAAGATGCTGCAGGTCCTGCAGCTCCATTTTTTCCATTTCGGTTTTCTCCCGGAGAACGAGATAGGGAGACTTACCGTCGACAGGCTGCGAGTGCCTCTGCCTGAGTGAGGCACCACGGATACGGCGGAACTGTCCCCTGTAAGTAAATAAGCCCCGAACGTGTTTCTCCGGCACGAGGGCTAAAAATACATCGGGCAGGATGTGAAGCGCGCTGCCGAATGCTGGAGTCCTTCCACGTCAGGCGAGAGGATGTACAGCATCAGTGCCACTGTGGCACGTCAGTGGGAAGGAAGGAGGGGGGGGGGGGGGGGG